CATTTGTTTCCCAAAGCAGTTATTCTAAAAAAAATCCCAAGGGTTTTTTTGAACAAAAGAGACCAAATTTTAGCCTTGATTCAGTGGGGCACGCAGCCATTTGGCCGTTTCCAGGCACATTCAGCCAGCTGGATTAACCACATGCCCACGGGCAGCTCTGCCATGCCTGTGCCATCTCTGCTTCAGTGGGTGATGCAGCGTCCAAGCTGCTGCTGGCTGGGCTCCAGCTGTGTGGCTGCACATGCAGCACAGCTGGCATGCAGCTGGCACGCAGCTGGCTGCACCTGACTAGCTGGGCATGCCCAGCACAGGGCACTCCTGCAGCCCAGGCTGCTCCTGTTCCCGGGCTGTTCCCAAGAAAGTTGGCTTGACCCACCTAAATGAATATTTGACAGCACGTCACAAGTAAGCAGTGCCATGCCCCCACTGCCCTTCAGGCCTGCCTGGGTGACAGTTTAGGACATTCCACAGAAGGAGGGAGACTGCTGAGATGTGCCAGACATCCAGCAGTGAGCTCTGTCCTATTCCATATCAGGCTCTGCAGGGCAGCATGTGGACATACATCACACAAGCTATGCAGGGAGCAGAAGGGCTCCTTACCTGTGTCCAGAGCAAAGAGGGAGATGTGATTTGTAACAGGAACCCTTGTTCCTTCTGTTTCCTTTCTCTGCTCCTGCAGCTCATAGGATTCCCTCTTGCAGTATGAGTAGGGATGTACAAAAACTGATACTTTTCTGTGTTGCAGAAGAGAAATATAGGAAAGTTTTATGGGCCATACCTATTTTGCTATTTCCTTAAATCAAATACTCATTGTAAAGTATCTAAATTTTACTTCATCTAATCAAGCATCTACTTTTGGGTTTTTTTTGTGCAGTATCCAGTTCTTTTTCCTCTAGTCCATAACTGTGTGAAGAAATAAATTCCCAAGAATATTCAGGATAATTAATCTTTGCAAAGAAAATTTCTTTCTACACAGTCATGATTTTGTCTCAAAAATATGATAGAACTCTCTGAAAGAAAAGTATCATATCTTTCTTCACTTTATTTTTTCACTGTCCTCTAAAATACATTATTATCTGTTGTAATTTTTTTTACTGAAATAGTTAACTTTTTCAATTTTTTTCTTTTAGAAAAGTGTTAGCTACAGTAGAACTTTCTCCCTAAAATTTAGCTATATCAGAAACTTATTCCTACAAAAAATGTTGAATCTGCACATTAATTTCCAAAATCTAAAGATCAACCAAAACCAGTGTGTATTTCTCCAAAAATTTTTAGAAACAGTCTCCAAGTTCAATTTGCTATTATACTTATTACAATTGTATGGTTGATTAATCCTTGCCTAAAAAAAAAAAACCAAAAAAAACCAAAAAAAACCCCAACACTTGGAAGCTATCAGCAGTTTTTCACATTTTAGCATGGGGTAGTGCTGTCCGAGAGCTGGGCAGAGGAATTTCTATTAAGCAGGTGCTGCTGTGGAGCAGTAAGGTGTTTCAGGGGTGCAAGTAGAAAGCAGAACACAAACCCTCCCAGCCTTGGCAGTGGCAGCTCCCTTGGGAGCAGTAACAGTTCCAGGCTGCTCCATCTCAGTCTCCAACCCTTCATTTCTCCTGATATTTGCCAGCACTGGCTCTTGGGCAGCACGTGGTCATTAGATCAAAACATTTGCTGAGTTGAAATGCCTGCCCTCTTTTTTCCTCCCCAACTTGTCTCTATACCAATCCTCCCTTCACTATTTCCTTCCTGCTACAATTTTGCTCCAGTCTCCTCTTTTCCCCAAAATGCCCCTGGAAATGCTTAAAAACTATGAATGTATAATAGACTTCAGAATATGTTCATAAACTACCTATGAAAATAAAACCCTACCTATGAAAATAAAAACACGTAGGCTGAATCAGCAATTGTTACTTCCAACTATTTGATCCTCTGCAGTTGTGGTTATTATACATATAAACATAAAGAAAATAA